CCGGTCCGCTCCCTGCCCGTGGTCCGGCACGTTTGCGAAGTCTTAGGCCGGCCTGTGTTGGGCGTGGGCCTGTACTCGGCAGAACCGCTGAACAGAGTCTGGACCGGCCTCGTTCCAGGAGGTGCGGGAACCGTAACAAAGCAGTGTCTGGAGGGTGCGTGGGAAAGCACGCGTCGGGGAAAGGCTTGCTCAGGCGGGCGCGGGCGACAAGCGCTCGACAGCATTTCCCACGGAGAATGCGTGGTCCGCACCTGAGGGGCGCAGCCAAGCCGTTGACCCCGCTGCAAAGTGCCAAGAGGAGTTAACCCTGCCCCTTTGCAGGATTTTGAGGGATGAGCTGTTTTATTTTGAGTATGTAATGCACGTACTTGATAAAGCATTCAACTCATGAAAAGCATAAGAAGCAATCTCTAATAGTGGTTTGAGACACAAGAATGAAGTAAGGCGTAGGGGGGAAGTAATGGAAAGGCTGGAATACGAATCCCTTAGGGCACCACAGATGTATCTTCAGTGTTCATCTGGTGCGTAATAGATAAGTGTTTTATGAATGAATCTTTTTTCAGTGCTGGAGAAAAGGGCCTCTTGCATCTGACAAGGGCTGTGCCACGGAACTACACCCCCAACCTGAATTAATTAAGAAGAATACAAGCCTAAATTAAGACAGTTGCATGGAGAGGAAGGAACCAGTCTGAGAAATATTTAATCAGTCAACAGAATTTAGCGACTATAATATTTAATTAGGCCATGATCCCTGTTACCACATTTTGGTCAAATACCCGTCTAGTTGCTATGTATCGGTTACATGTGAATAACATTTACATCAGTGGATTTTAAGTAAAGTAGATTATCCTCCACAGTATGAGTCTAGTCAGTGAAAGATAACACCCTCAGAAGGAATTCAGATCTCCCTTGGATCTCCAGCCTATTGGCCGGCCTTTCAGGTTTCAGACTTGCCAGCAGCACCCAGCAATCATGAGCCAATTCCTTAAAATAATTCTTTTTCTATACACATCCTGTTGATCTGTTTTTCTAGAGAACCCTGACTGATGAAAATAGACACCATCAAAGATGACACAGAGTAAGAGAAAGCCTTGAAAAGAGTACAATGTTAAACAGCCAAAATCAGGTGTGTTATAAGCCCAGCACTCAGGAGGCTGAAGCAGGAGGATGGCCACAAGATTTGGCCTGGTCCACACAGTTCAAGGCCAGTCTGAACTACATCATGAGACCTTGTCTCAAAAAAAAAAAAAAAAAAAAGCAGCTGCCAAACTGGATATAGTGGTGCATTCCTATAATCCCAGCACTCTAGGGGACTGAATCAGGAGGATTGCAAAATCGAGTCTAGCCTGGGCAGTTTAGTGACTTAGGCTTTCTCTCAAAAAAACTTTTTTCTCATTGAGCTTATTGGTACGTTTTAGGTATACAGTAAAGCTACATTTATCATTGGGCTCTTGTACATTTACATGACAGGTCTTGGTTCTCATTCTTTCCCCATACCCCTGCCCTCCACCCCCTCCTCCCTTCCCTATTTACAAAATCTTTATTTCCATTTTTTCATTTTCTCATATTTTTTCTTTTCCCTTATTTCTTTTCCCCTACTCTTTCCACTTCCCCTACACCTTTACCTCTTTTCTTCCTATTTCATACTGTCGTTTATACTGTTAGGATCTTATTTACGATTATAGTTTTTCATACCAGAGAAACTATTCGGTATTTTCACATGTGACTTACTTATTTCACTTGAGTATATCCATTTTCCTATGAATGACTCTAATTTCTCATTCTTTATGGCTGAGTAGTATTCCATTTTATAGAAAAACCACATCTTCTTTATCCAGTCTCCAATAGGCAAATGTGCTGTTTCCAGGTTTTAGCTATTACAGACTGCCGCTATAAACATGGGTGTGCATATATCACTGTGGTATGATTCTTTTAATTCTTTTGGAAAGATACCCAGCAGAGGGATGGCAGGGTTAAATGGAACCTCTAATCCTAGTTCTTTGAGGTTATCTCCATATTGATTTCCATAGTAGTTGCACTAGTCTGCACCCCCACCAACAATGGAGAAGGGTTCCTTTCTCCCCACATACCTGCCAACATTTGTTATGGGTTGATTTCTTGATAGCCATTCTTTCTGGGGTGAGGTGGAATATCAGTGTTGTTTTCATCTGCATCTCTTGAAGGACCAGTGATGTGGAACATTTTTTCATATATTTTTTTCAGCTTTAATTGAGTTTATTGGTACATTTTAGGAATACAGTACAGTTACATTCATTGTTGGGATCTTGTACTTCTACATGACAAGTCTTGATTCTCATTTTTTCCCCTTACCCCTTCCCTCCCTTCATCCCCTCCTTCCCTCCCCATCTACAAACACTTTATTTCCATCTTTTCATTATCTCACATTATTTTTTCATATATTTACTTGCTGCTTTTAATTCTTTATCTGAGAAATGTCTATTCATTTCAGATGTCCATTTTTGAATCAGGTCTTTATATTTGGGGGGGCTGATTTTTTTTTTAGTTCTTTATATATTCTAGATAATAATCCTTCTTCTGAGGAGCAGCTGGTAAAAATTTTTTTCCCCACATTGTAGTTTTCCCTCAGTTCTGTTGATGGTTTCTTTTGCAGTGCAGAAGCTTTTTAATGAGATCCCAGTTGTTGATTCTTTGTGCTAGTTCCCATGCTACTGAGGTTTTGTTCATAAAGTCTTTTCCTATGCCAATGTCTTCAAGAGTTCTGCCTAATTTATCCTTCCAGCAAATTTGGTGTTTTTTTTAATATTTAGATCTTTAATCCACTTGGATTTTAGTTTGATGCATGGTGAAAAAATAAGGGTCTAGTTTTAATCTTTGGCAGGTTGAAATCCATTTTTTCCAACACCATTTATTAAAGAGGCTATCTTTCTGCCAGTGAGGATGTTTGGCTCCTTTGTCAAAGATGAGGTAGCTGAGTATATCTGGAGTTGTTTCTGTATCTTCCAATCTATTCCACTCATCCTCAAGTCTGTTTCTTTACCAGTAGCGTGCTGTTTTTAATCACAGTGGCTTTGTAGTATAGTTTCAAATTGGGAATTGTTATACCTGCTGCCATCTCTATTGCCTAGGATGGTTTTTGCTATTCTAGGTCTCTTATGGTTCCAAATGAATTTTTGGATTCTTTTTTCTAGTTCTGTGAAATATAGTGTTGTAATTTCAATTGGTATTGCATTGAATCTGTATAGCAGTTTTGGTAGTATGGCCATTTTCACTGTTTTTTTTTTTTTTTGGTACCGGGGATTGAA